CTTAACACTCTCGCCTCTTAAACTCTTCTCTCCTATTCTCCTCTCATCTCTGGCGACCGAGAATAAAAGTTGTCGACTTCTCTGATAGCAGCAAATCGTGCTTGTAGAATAGTCGTCTACCTCTCCAAGAACAGTTGTCCCCTTGTTTTCTGTTCATCTACACCACAAAGGTAAGATTTCATGACTGTGAAGTTATATACAAATACACACACATATATATATATATATATATATGTATGTATGGACATCGATTAGGGTTTTGTTTTTGGTTATGTGAAATGGTATGCCAGTTGTGTGTGAGGTTTCTCTTCTCTCTCTCTCTCTCTCTCTCTATGATTACGGTGAAATGTCCCTCTTCTTCACTCTGTGATTAGGGTTGAAAACGCCTCTCTCTCTTCTTCACTCTCTGATTAGGGTTGAAAATCCCCTTTTTATTGCAATCTGTTATTTATTTATTTAATCCTTAGATGTTTTTCAATTTTAAATGCATAAATTTGGTACTGGAGTAGGTGAAATTTGAGTTGTTTTTTTTTCACAAAGTACTTTGGTTTCTGTTGTTTCATAACATGGTTGAACTTCCTTTGGGCTTAATCAATCCAAAAGGCCAAGTTAACTGATTGTTTCTAATTAAGTTTAGTGATGATGGTGTGTTGTGGGTTACCTATGGTTACTGCGTTGAGGTTGATAAGTGGTAGACACAACAAAGATCACGTTATCGGAAATTATGTTTCTCTGTGATCACTCCATTTTGTATTTAATATTTAATATCACTTCTTTGAGCTCTTGTTGGTTTTGTACATAACTGCCAAAGAAGTTCCTTACCGCAATGGGGGTGGGGGTGGGGGGAATGGAGTTGAAAGTGGACTGATAAAGTTTGTAGGGCAGAAAGCTTGAAGGCCTAAAAAACAAAGGCTAGATTTTGCTCACCTTGTTTCTTCTTATGCTATGGGCATAACTCAATGTATTTCCCTGTTTTGTTGTATATTACCAGAGTTTTCAAATATTTGAGGTTTATTTAACTCCATATATAAACTGCTGAAGTTTCCATACATATAAATTCGCAAAGTCTCAAGCCTTTGTGATTTTTTCGAATTAGTTTATTTGTTTTTGAGTCCACAAAGATTGTAAAAATTACCACAATAAAAAAAATTTTAAAAAAAATTACAGTAAGCAAAATTGTCATAAAGTGAAACCAGCCGTTGGTAATTACCTGATATCTTCTTAATCCTAAAATCAATGGAAAAGGTTTGAAAACAAGATTTTCTTGAAAGTTTGACTGGTGTACAACACTATATTTTGGAGATGATCACCTATTTAAGCCTATTCCATGTAATGTTGGGCTATAAAGGAGTCTATTTTGCTAACATGTTCTCCAATCCAGACATCAAATTTTGTTTTGAGTTGTTTAATCAATTTCTCTTTCAATACATCGCATAGAATGAATTACATTTTATATAGGTGAATCATGACAATGTGACAAACTTCTATACTCTGATAAGCATTAGGAACCACCTTGCTTGAAGTGCTGCATTGCAGCATGTGATGGTTAGAACCTCTATTAGATGGACTCTTATTGAAAATGGTGAGGCTTTCTCTCTTTGTAATCATGGTGTTTGAATGGAGTTAGAATTTGCTTCTGTGTTTGCCAGTGATATTGCTATTGACTTTGTGTTACCCTTCTTTATTTTCTTTTCCTTTCTTTAAAGAAAAGCATGATATATTGTTTTATGCACCGGTATTCACTTGTTATTTTGTTGGAATGAAAATTTCAGGGAAACCTCAACAGGATTTTGGTAATCCGGCATCAACAAAGTTTATGAAAGCAATTTCAAAGGGGGTAAGAGTGGAATGATGGTTTGATAAAGAGATGCAAAGTTGGAGAAGATAGAGCTTGTGCATCCATTATTGGCGATTAAAGACCTCTCACTAAGACTTGGACATTGTCAAATTAAAGTTCCAAATGACTTCCTTTGATTGCCAAGAAATTATGGTGGTAGTTGACATCTACAACAGGCACCACCATCCAATTCCTCAAACATTTTACGTGTAATCTTTATTTTTCTTGACGATCTGATACTAGTCCAGTTGTGAACAACATTCAATAATCTTTTTCTAGGTGATAAATAAATTTTAGGTTTTTTATTTTCTTATTAATGGTATTGTCAATACAATTGCATATGCTTTGTTAAGTTTTGCTTATCTGAAATAGTAGTTGACTAGCTATCTTTATACAATTGCATATGCTTTGTGAACAACATTCAATAATCTTTCACTTGCATTTCTTATGACCATGTCTTGTTTCTGGTAACCTCCTATGATCATCACCATGATAAGATGTGAATTTTTTTAAAATTAACTTGTTTGGTAGGAAAAGTGAAAATAAGAGGAGGAAAAAGAAAATGATATATTCCCTTGTTTGGTTGAATTGAGAAATAGAGAGAAAGGAGAAAATAAGCATTGGTTAACACAGTTATCTATACCATGCCACATCAACTAATAATAATATTTTTATATTAGCAAAATTCTTATTAAAATTTTATTTTAAATGTAATAGGTCCACAGCTTAGTTACGTAACTTTGTATGCAATTTCTTTCTATCACGATAATCTTATATATATCTCAAGTACATAAACAGGGCTGGCTCAATGTTATTAGAGAGGGGCCTAAGGAAATTTTTTTAAATTGGGCCGTTCATATATCATTATCCAAAATAAAAAAATGTTTGGATATGATGAAAAAGATAAACTTGTTTGTGCAACAATAAGAATTCATAATTTCATCCGATGAAGTCAGTTCCGTAACATTGCATTTGACTTTTATGATAGATTCACGGATTATGTGCCTAATGAAGAGGAATGATCTTCGTCTCAACAAGCACGCTATGGAAATGATGTTGCAGGTAATGACAACGAGATGGAAGTGAGGAGACATAATATTTGTATGTTAATTTGCAGACAAAATTAGAGTTCTTTAAATGTTTAGGAAGTTTTATTTTTATTACCTTACTAGTAATTTATTGTATTTTTATTGCAATGACATTTTCTTATTCCCTTGTGCACTCAATATTTCAAAATTTAAATTGAAGAAAATGACAAAATTATAATTTTTATGTTCATAAGGGCAAAAATGACAATTACACAGCAAAAAGCTATTTTACAGCTTATTTACCAAATACTACTCTGCTGCTTAAATCCATAATCCCATAGCTGCACCAAACAGGTTACCAGTTTATGTTCACAGTTGTAAGCTATAATTTGATAAATTATAATTTATAATCACTTTTCACGGCTCTACCAAATGGGTCGTAATTAGTTTTGAGTTCATAGCTAGTAGCCCAGTGAGAGGGGGATTTGCGCCGAACAATGGGCCCAAGCTATGGTAGTCCGCGGTGTGGTGCTGGGCCTTACGAGGGCTAGACCCGGTGTTTGTCCGAACTGAACCAACGCGGCTTCCCCGACCTATTACGTTGGGCCGAGCTGAACGTCGACCAGAATGTGGAGACATGCAGGTGCTCAACCGAGCTATGATTCGACCTGATATTCGGTTAGATCTGCACTGATGTGTTGGGCCGAGCCACGGACAGTTCGAATTGAATTTGGGCCGAGGTGTTTTACGAGGAAGCAGTGCGAGACCGAGATGTCAAACTGCGCGCCCTACGACTAGTCAATTCAAATGGACCAATTTATTATAGTTCGGTCGTTCCAGTCGTTATGATGTTTGTCCCCCAAGTGATAGCTCGGTTGCGTAAGCCACCTAGACCAATGGTAAAAGAGGGAAAATTCACCCATGGTGTACGTCAATACCGTTTGGCGGTTCAACAAACATTGTTTGGAGGTTTTCGTCTCTACACGTGTAAGGATGGTAGAGGGGAGCACAACCACCTGTCTAGAGAAGGACAGCAAAGGTAGTGCGCCCAAAATCTCTGAGGCTGTATGGCTAGCCTAGAAAAGGAGGAATGTGGGATGTTAAAGGTAAGTAATCTGAAGGAATTCACAACTCTCTCTCTTTAGAGTAGTCTCTACATTCTTCTTCTTCTTCAAGTGTGCTGACTTTATCCGGCAGCACATCGTCGGACAGCTCACCTTCTTTCTATTTTCAGGTCAAGCGATGTTATGCGAAGCTTGGGTTCAAAGAGTACGGAGAACTGAGAACATTTCACCCTCGTACAATTGGCGTCGTCTATGGGAAAACTTTGACAGACAAACCTTGTTCTCCAAGCTTCTTCGACTGTTTCCATGGCTAACAACGACGAAACTCCGCTGTCTGTTGTCGATGGTATCACACCAGAGTCTGTCTGACGGAGAGATGGCCCTCCTGTTATTCCAACTATGGTGGACCTGGAAACCTTTTCTAGAGGTGCGCGAGACAAATGAGCAAGGAGCACTGACCACTCAAAGAGTCCAGAGGGTCGCAGATGACGGGGAGAGTCGCATGCTCAGCACCTGGAGCACATACCCAGAGACCAGGACGCCTTTATTCGCAAGATGGCGATTGAAATGGAGGCGCTGAAGCGCTAGATCAGGAGGAAGGGTATTGCTAGAGAGGGCAATAATAGTGAGCGCACCCTGCTCCCTCGCTCTGGCAGTCGTCGCCAATATAGGACGCCCTCTCTCTATCACCAAAAGCTATGGGGTTAGGGACTCCGACCCACCAGTGGAGAGATCTTACACTCGCAACAGCAGCTACCGTCCCTCACGTCCATCGACGATGTCAAGATACTCTTACTCTGCCCGTTCGGGGGACCTGAGGGATGTGTTGGAGGAGCGAGCTCGCCGTAGAGAGACCCGAAGATAGTTCGTTATAGTGAGGAAGTGGCGATGCCAGCGCTTAAAACGATGGCCCCTGCACCGATGGACAGAGAGCTAGTAAGACTTACCGCTACCCCACTATCCCCAAAAATCGAGAGCACGCCACTTCCTGTCGAGTTTCACCAACCTAAGTTCACGCTGTACGATGGCAAGACGGATCCATACATGTACGTGAGTCATTACCGGTAAGTAATGGCTGGCCATCGATGCAATGACGCCTTGATGTGTCTCATATTCCTGGCAAGTTTGGGAGAACTGGGCCTGAAGTGGTTCGAAAGACTCCCGGAGGGGAGCATCAAGGGGTGGCAACAACTAGCAGAGGCCTTCATCACCAGATTCAAAACCAACACTCGAACACCGAAGGAGGTCGACCATTTCCTGAGCGTCAAGATGGAATCTGGAGGTTCTTTAAAGGCATACAATGCCAAGTACTGGGAAACTTACAATGAGATCCTCGATTGCCCCACCAATCTGGCAATCGCCCAATACAAACGAGGTCTCCCAGTCAGACATAGGCTACGAGACTCGCTCATGATGTGCCAGCCCACAACCATGGAATCTTTGATGCAGCAGATCAAGGAACATATCCGAGTAGAGGATGATGCTGTTACCGCCACCGCAACTAGGAAGGCAAATTCGGTTGCGGTGGACAGAAGAATTGCTGGGAAGGTTCACTCGGTGGGGTAGGAGGACAACCGCCCTAATGGCCGAGCTAGAGATCAACATCGCAGTTTAAACCGTAATGATAGAAACAAAAGTCGCAGAACGACCGGGCTAATGCTCCTCACAGTGAAGAGGAATATGCAAAGAGGAAGTTGAAGGCACGAACCGGCATCACCACTATCTTCAAGATCCCAATTTATTACATCCTAAGTGAAATCTGAGGTGAACCCTACGTCCGTTGGTCAGCCAAATTGTTAGACATGCAGAGGGGCTTTAACTCGAGGTATCGCTGCACCTTCCATGAAGAAAGGGGGCACTGAACGGAGGACTATGTGCAGCTTAAACAACATTTAGAGGAGCTGATGGCGGCTGGGCATTTGGACCAGTACATAGACGAGGGTATGAGAGCCGTTCCCCAAGGATAGGCTGAGCTAAATAGCCTTGCTGCCCTGGATGCAGCGCCCCAAGGCGTAATCAATGTCATTCACAGCATCATCGAACCAGTGCGGGTCTGCGAGCTGAGGGGGATGATCAAGAAAGCCGAGCATGTGAGGGAAGTGCTCTCCGTTCAGCCCACCGTGAAAAAAGGAAAGACCGAAGTAAAAGACGTCCTGACTTTTTCAAGAAAGGAGTTGGAGAGAATTCAAATGCCTCATAATGATGCCTTAGTGGTGACCCTTCGCGTCAAAGACTTTGACTTCAAAAGAATTCTGATTGACCAAGAGAGTTCGGTTGAGATCATGTACTATGATGCGTTCAAACAGATGAAGTTGGAAGACAAAGACTTGGCTTGGGCAACATCTCCTTTAGTTGGCTTCAACTCTCAACCAGAATGGCCGATTGGAAAGATCATATTGTTGGTCAAAGCTGGGTCAGTCACGAAGCAAGTGGAATTTTGGGTGCTTAAGGTCCCATCAACCTACAACTTAATCCTGGGAAGGGGCTGGTTGCATGCCATGCAGGCAGTAGCGTCGACTTATCATCGGGTCTTGCGCTTTCCAGTGCCAGACGGGCAAGTAGAAGAGGTTTGGGGAGACCAAGTAATGGAAAAATAGTGCTTCGTCGCAGTAAATGGCAGTCGGGCTGCCGAAGGCTTTATTCAAATGATAGAAGGATCAGAAGGGAAAGAAGTCCTAGAAGACGTGGGAAGAAAATCCGAGGAGAAATCGGTTGAAGATTTGGTGGAAGTGCGCGTTGACAAGAATGATCCAAGTAAGTTCTTTGTTTTAGGATCATCTTTGTCCAGCACTGAGCGGCTCGATTATGTCAATTTTTTGATTTCCAACATGGAGGCCTTTGCATGGACGCCTTATGATATGCCTGGCGTCGACCTTAGCTTCATTTTCCACCAGTTGAATGTCTTTCCAAATGCACGACCGATCATCTAGAGGACGCGGCGATCGACCTTGCACCATGCTGAGATAGTGATGGAGGAGGTCAAGAATTTGCTGGAAGTGGGGGCAATAGAAGAAGTACAGGACCCCAGATGGATCTTTAATACGGTGGTAGAGCCGAAGAAGAACGGTAAATGATGGGTGTGCGTCGATTATAAGACAGTCAACCATGCGTGCCTAAAGGACAGTTTCCCCCTCCCTAGAATCAACCAGCTAGTGGATCTAACCGCTGGCCATCAAAGGTTTAGCTTCCTGAATGCATATCGCGACTACCACCAAATTGTCATGTGCGAACTAGACCAAGAGATCACTTCGTTCACCACTCCAAGAGGCTTGTATTGCTATAAGGTCATGCCGTTCGGTCTGAAAAATGCCGGGGTAACTTTTCAAAGGATGGTAACCAAAATGTTCGCCCCCTTCTTGGCTGCACTATGGAGGCTTATATCGATGATATGGTGGTGAAGAGCAAAGACAAGTCTCAACACCGTACTGACCTAGTAGAAATGTTCTCTATACTTAAACATCACAAGTTGCGTTTGAATGCCTCCAAATGTGCCTTCGAAGTTGGCACCGGAAAATTTCTAAGTTTTTTAGTCATGAACTGAGGAATCGAAGCTAATCCTTCCCAAATCAAGGAAATACAAGAACTGGAGCGGCCAAACTCCACGAAGGACATGCAACATCTCACTGGAATGGCAGCCGCGCTGAACTGATTTATCAATCGGTCTTCAGATCGTTGTAGACCCTTCTTCAAAACTTTGAAGGCCAAGTTCTTTTGGGATGACGAGTGCGACCGTGTATTGGCGGATCTAAAAGTATACCTTTCCTCGGCCCCAATCCTGGTCACACCAAAATCGGGCGAATAACTGTATCTCTACTTGGCAGTTTCTTAATAAGTGGTGAGCGCAGTCCTCATCCGCGTTGAGGGGATCTGTAGACGTCCCTGAACGTCCCGGGAGGGAATCCCGTTTTGTTCATTTGGGGCTCACTATAGTTCAAGACTCAAATGTCACGGTCCTGTATCTAATCTCGCAAAGTGTAATACGAGATTGATAAATCACCAAAGAGTCCAAATCTGGCAAATCGTTTTGAAAAATTGATTTTTAGAAAGAAGTGCCAAACATGAACTGTTTTGCCAGATACAGAGTCGCCACCTAAATATTTTATTTTGGGGAATTTAGGAAACCCTGACTTGTTTGCCTAAGGCCACGTGTCCGTCATCACCAAAGTTGCCTCGGCTTAAGAACTTGGGTACGATTGGGGAAGGTCACTTCGTGAGCACCCCCGCTCGCCCGATCAAAGATCGGCCTCTACTAACCATGATATCGAGTTTTGAAAACATATGTGTTCTTATTCCGGTTTATTAGCCTAGAATTACTATGTGATGCGCGCAGCATACAAGTATAGACCGGATCGCCTGAATTGGAACAAAACATTTCATGTTTATTTTTGAAAGCGGTTTGTTACTCACAAGTAGGCTTAAAATACAGATTTTGCCACCCTCGGGTGGGCTTAGAAAACGTGATGGTTTGCCACTCTCAAGTGGGCTTAAAACTCACAGTCAATGCATTATTCCAATTCAGATAATCCAACCTTCAACCACAGGCATTCAGGCAGGTACAAATAACCCAACTTTCACCCACAGGCATTTAGGCAGGTATACCATGTAAGCATGTAGCCTCATGGTAAGCATGTTATCACGGCAGTCACTCACACCCATGCAAGGATGCTAAAGCATAAACACTTACCGAGTACTCCAAGCGAAAACAGAAGCTATGTTAGAAATCCATGCATGATCCTAACTATATAGAAATGCCTGATGTAACACATGCAGGAATGCAATTACAATAGGCTCGGCTACTCTAAAGATGACATGTGAAATGCTATAACTAACAAGTATTCAACTCGGAATTGAAATACAATGCAGTTATTATGATGCGCCGAGCCCAGTGCATGCAAGACAGATGAATGAATGCAAACATGCTATCATAAGTATACTAATTGAAACATGCCCTAAACTAACCATCATAAGCTAGTAAATAAAAGGGAGAAAGACGTGGGGTTGGAAGACATACATCACACACACGCACACTTATTACAACAATTGGCTCTCTCTCGGAGGGTCTGAAAGAATATTACACAACCAAAATAAATAACGAATTATTACACAATACTAATTACTTAACAAATGAATTAGGTAAGCAAAGTAAACTAGCATGCTATGCTACGTGCAATGGACTGCCTCAGCTCTGTTCCGAATGATGAAAGGTGTATGCATGCTCGAGTCGCCTTGTCGGTAAATTCCATTGCGATGCCTTGCCTCACCCTTGTTGCAATTGATCTCAGAAACCTGCACAAAGCTCCAGAAGGCTGAAACTCCACCTTGGGAAGGCCACCGACTAGTTATTAGCATGAGAGACCACCTGCCGACCACCCTTTGTGGTGGAGACCAAAGAGGGTGGTCGGTCTGCCAGAAAATCTGGTCGGCCGACCAGTTTCTACCTCTGGTTTCTGGTTTTTCTGCAACAAAGGCAAGAGAGAGAAAAAGCAATGTATTTTCAACAAATGTGTGCATGACCACTCTCCCCGTCATTGCACAAGCTCTAGGGAGTATAGTCCTCGATCCTCGTGCCATCAATCATGCATCTCGATGCATAATGGCCGAGGAGTCGAATTGCATAACTTAATGGGACATGAATGCACATATAAGCAACTAAAGCCAACGACTCTATCATGGATAGTCAAGAGTGTCGGCGACCGAGAATCGAGGCACGATCCATCACTTGGAGTATGAAACGTCCCTCGTTTCCCATGTTTGGACTAAACCGTACTCCAAACACAATGCAATACACATGGCATATAGGAATGCAATTCTAACATGCAACCTAAATGAAATGCAACTAAGACATGCAAACATGCAAGGAATGACATGCAAAGGTACAATTAGCATACACAATGCTATGAACTATCGATGGCATACTCAATGCACATGAAAACTATATGGCCTACGCAATGTAGACATATATAGATGGACATACATAAAGACATGAACAAGGCATGCACAATGCAACGATCAATCATGAAACAACATGGATATGGCATACGCAATGCAAGATGGACTTAAACTAAAATGAGTGGGCCTCAGCCACACTCACATCAGTGGCCATATGATGAAAATGAGACAACCGAAATACATGCAAACATGTACGGATGCAAAGGACCGATCCTAAGGCACAACATGCAACTCTAACAAAGCATGACAAATGATGAAATATGGCATAGAATGGCACATGATCCAGCTTTGAAATATGATACACAATGGTCCCGAATCATGCAAACACTTCACACGATGCATGCTAAATGGCCCGAATATCGAAACTAGTGAAGTGCGTTACACTAGAGGTACACAAAGCAATGCACAAATGGAAAAACCACCCCTAAACAGACCCTAGGCAGGTCCAAGACAGTGGGAAAATGGCCTAAAATGATGGCTCAAAGTGCATGGAAATGAAGCTCATTCAATGGTCCGAAAACGAGGCATTTATGCACAACTCTCAAACGCATTTAAAGAGTGGAAAACATGACAATATAGCATGCACGTAAGCTCTGAAATATGATGTGCAATGGCCT